CAAAAGACAGGTTAAAAATTAACAGTACACATTATGACTCACTTTCTATAGTGCAATAAAAGCAATCATTGTTGATCAGAGGGATAAAAAATTGTAAAATTTTATGTAAGTAGTGAACATATAACTTACAAACTATTGTGTGATTACAGTTGAATTATATTGTCAATTAGAACAGAGAGAAAGGAGATAAAAATAACTAATTTAAATCAAGTGATATAATATTGACTTACAAACTGTTGCATGATAAAAATGACAGTTCCAATTATCATTGATTGAACAGAAGACACATTAAAACATAAAATGTAATCAATAATTTTAAAATGACTTACTCCCTAAATGGATCAGAGAAATAAAAATAAATTCAAATAATCTATCAAAAATTGGCTCATGCATAGCATAATGGCTAAAAGTTATGGTTTAAAAAAAATTATTATTAAAATAGTTACCTCAGATTGCATCCCGGCCATTACCAGAAAAATAAAAAAAAACTTATATAAACCTCGACTCAAACTTGATTTGTGCCTAAAAAGAAAGTAAAGGAAGTGGCTAGTTTCAAGCTAGCTAGCTAGCTCAGCCCTATAGCCACGCCTTCTCACACGTCATGTGTGATCACGTGTGTATACTAATGGAGGTACATGTAACTATTAAAGAGGCAGATAGGAAAGAGCCCATTTCTTTATGTAAGCCTTGTATTTGTATTTTTTATTGACAGTGTATGTATTTAGCTACCTATTGTTTATTCTTCTTTCTTCTCTCTCTCTATAGTATCATTCTCTAATGGTCGACTTGATTCCTGTTCAGATGTCAAAGCAAAGCATTCCCTTTACCAAGAGAAAGGTATGAAGAGGAGGACACTGGTTACAAAGACAGACCACATGACATACATTGGTACCAATTACGAGATTGAGGGAACCATGAACACCTTCCCTTTTAGAAAGTGCATGAGATCATTTATAATCTTGCCACACCCCTTTCAGCAAATGATAGGACGAGACTATTTAATTAAAGACCTTTTCACACTAGCAAAAGTAATGCACACTGATTTGTATTAATTGTATTCACACTACATGTAGGGTGGTTTCCAATTAATGCACATCACTCTCATTTCACCTCCAGAGGTGGATTGTATTGATAAAGTGCATCAAAGAGCTTCAAAAACTGTGTCAGTGTGAAAAGACCTTTAGTGTTTATGTCCGTAAGTAGTAGCTGGGCTTAGATATTATTAGTTTTTAATTAACTTTATTAATCTTTTATTTAAGACTCTATATGAGTTGCAAAATGATATAATTTAGTAATTAATACTTACATGTAGGTATATGATTGGTGTTCTTGATAAAGA